CAAACAGGGTGTGTTTCTGTTGGTCTATGTCATAGATATTAAATTAGTAACATTTCTTTAAACATGATATATCCCATCGTGCACTTGGAGTTGATTTGGTTTCAGTTCAAATTCCATTTTCAGCCCTGAAAAGTTTATGTGGCTTTATCATGGACGTTCCGTTATGAGGAATCAAAATGTCAAAAGAATCAGGAGACAGATTTAAACCCCTCGTCTGTGTATAAATTTCGGCTATTTTAAGTATATTTATGGTATTTGTCAAATAAAGAGCATCAGATCCTGTCACTTGAGAAGTCAGGGAATGTAGTTGCAACAGTGATGCTATGAAGTCAAACAGGTCTAAGGTGTGTCGTATAAAACAGCTGATGGGAAAATACGGGTTAGATTGTTCACTGGGGCTGTTTAGTGCAGCCACAGACCAAACCAAGGTCACTGTCCTCAAAGATTTTTTTCTTTTTCTTTCTTATTTTTCATGTTTTCTCTCAGTGGAAAAGTTTTCCATCCTGATGATCAGAAGAATGTTTGAGGGTTTCAGAGATCCTTCAGAACAACAGTAAGTGTTTAAATGACGTCTTTCAGTCTTTTAGCTAATCTGACAGGTTGACTGAAGTCTGTGAGCTTCAGTGGATTAACAGATTGTTCATGTTAATCCATCTGAACCAGGATTAAAGCTTCACTTTACTGGTTACAGATGAATGTTTTGTGGAGTGAGTGTGAAGCATTTGATTTACTGTTGGCTGGTTTAAGCTTTTACTCGGGTACTCGCAGAGGTGGGAAGTAATGAAGTACAAATACTTTGTCAACGTGTGCAAGTAGAATTTTCAGATATCTGTCATTTACTGATGTAGTTTTTTTCTGACAACTTTCCACTTTTACTTCCTACATTTTTAAACAAATATCTGTAATTTCTAGTTCTTACATTTTCAGAACAGGCTCATTATTTCACATCACTGCAAGCCTTTAAACATCAAATCTATTTAAGCATAAACAGTAACACATGAAAGGCAACCTGCAGTATGTATTTGTAGACAGGGATGTGACTATGACGCACATTAGAAGGTTATTGAGCGCACTGATAATCACTGTCATGATCTGACCTTAATGAAATGTGGCACGCTTCATGTGACTCACTTCACCACAACCACAAAACTGTTTTCATAGATTGCTTCAGATCTTTTTAGAGGAAATGTCAGTGCTGAGAATACTTGGAAACAGAGATCCAACTGTTAATGAAATTCAGCTAAAAATGGGCGCTTTCATGTATTAAAACTAGTTTTGAGCATCCAGCTATCACACATGGTCATATGAGCCTTAAAAAGTTGAAATCCATCATTCTTGGACTTGGAGTTATTAAAAATAGTTTAATTTCAGCTTTTAACAGAAACCCTTCTATGTGGATTTATAATGGACTTGTGCTTATGATGAATTAAAATACTGAAAAAAGTAAGGCAACACATTTGAACCCCCACTGCTGTGTATTTCAAGACTGATTCTCTGAAAATATTTGTAGTATTTGTAGTACAAAAAAAAAATCAGCTGCTTCGTAATGAGACTTTGCACAGATGAAGGTATAAAAGGAAAAAGTTGTTACTTTCTGCTGCTCTGCTTTGTGACAGATGTCTTTCCTATGTTGTGTATGTTTAATATTAAAACATGAACTTATTTTACTTTTATCATTATTATTATTAACTTATGATTATAGCATTCATACATAATTTCTACTTCTATTAGACCAAGTTCATCTAAATCCATGGACAGAGTTGATGGGAAAGTCAGCACATTACTCCTGTGTTTGAAAAACAAATTCACTTCCTGTCACTGTCAAATCTCTGCTACTTTAGGTATGTTTGTGGTATTTGCTTGTCAAATGTGCAGGCTCTGAGCCAATCACTTAAGAAGTCAGGGAATGTGGTTGCTAAGGTGATGCTATGAAGTCAAACTTGTCTAAGGTGTGTCGTATAAAACAGCTGACAGGGAGGTACGGGTTTGATTGTTGTTTGTGGCTTTGTAGTGATCCTTTTATTTCGTCTATTTGCTCTCAGTGGATAATATTTCCATTTCCATACTGATGATCAGAAGAGTGTTTGAGGGTTTCAGGGATTTCTCACAACAACAGTAAGTGTTTAAAATTACATTTGAGAGGTCACCTGGCAGGTCGAGTGAAGTCTGTGAGCTTCAGATGGATTACCAGATCGTTAATGAATCTGTAAATCCAGCTGAACCAGGATTAAATCTTCACTTTACTGGTTACAGATGAATGTCATGTCGAAAACACATAAAGCATTTAGTGGTTAAGCTTTTACTCAATTACTTTCAGAGGTAGGAAGTAGAAAGTACAAATATTTTGTTCTTGTACTTTGAATTTTCAGGTATCTGTACTTTACTTGAGCATTCATTTTTCAACAACTTTTTACTTCTACTCCCTACATTTTGAAACAAATATCTGTACTCCTAATACTTTCAGAAGAGACTCATTATTTCAAAAATCAAACCTATCTGAGCCTAAACAGTAACACAGAAAAGGCAAAGACAGAGGAAACTCCACTCAGAGATGGAGAAAGATAAGACAGACAGGATGGGAGAGGAAGAAGAAAGCTTAGATTTAAAGGTAAGGACTGCTCAGTGGGATTTGATAAGCTGGAAATTTTAACCCTACATGTAAGTCCCTGTGTTTTTAAACCAGATATTGAGTCTGTACATTTGACAAATGGTTAAAGGTTGCATCAAAACTCAGTTTAGTGCAGTTTAGTGCAGGATAAACTGGTTAGCTTGCAGTAATGTGATTTACCACTCTCTCTTCTCTGGCAGATACTAAAATAGTGAAGGTGTAAAACCAACCTACTCTAAAACCATGTCCAGAACCAGCTGCACCTTTGCTCTGTAGCCAGACCACAAACCAAACCCCACCATGAAATTATTGGGAAATCTGATTCTTTTCCCCACACTGAGCAACTAATGGGCTGTTCAGTAGGTTTGTCACCTGGAGGTGGTTTCCAAGAGTAAAATAAACAAATAATTTTCTTTAGATTCAGTGACATTAACACCAAACAAAACATCATCCTCAAAATTGTATTTGCATTACTGTAAAAGTGAGCTTACAGCTATTCCCTTTTGGGGTCATCACATCTGCCTCCATCACCATGTAACCAAACAAAGCAGATGCAACTTCACTCAAAAACCTAAATACAAAGAGACAGCAGGGTAACCTTTATAGTAGTTTGCCCAAACCATTTACACACAATAAACAAAAAAACAAACAAACTCCAATACAAAACAAGCACAACAAAACACAACTAAACCTTAAAAAAGAAGAAAAATAAAAACAGTTTATGACAAGCACTTGATTGGTGCTGTTGAGCAGGCATTGTGTTTTCAAAGTCCTCAGCCCTTGGCCACACCTTTTGCTCAGACAGGAAACAGCCACCTCCCCAACCAGGTAACTCAAAGAAAAGAAAAACATATTAATATAACAGAAACATTTTTAGAAAAAACACACAATGCTATTATAGCTGTGCTTCATAATATCACTGTTAGATTTAAGTACAGACATTACTGAATTATATTAGTGAAATAACTGTAAACCACACTAATGAAGTGAATGAACGATTTTACCCATGTGTGGCTGATGCCATCATATTTGTTAATTATAGTGCAGTGTGACTTCCAAAGTTTCTTAGCAATTTTTAATTACCAGGAAATTTATAGCTGCTAAGGCGGATCAGCTAGAAAGCTCCAGTTTACTTTTTAAAGCAGCAGGCAAACTTATAGATCTGGAGCTGTTAGTGCTACTGTGTGTGCTAAGTACATGTTCATATGTGGAGACAGGTGGAAATATGCTGCTCTGTTTCAAATGCCCAATAAGAGGGCATCCATCCATCCATCAGTCCATTCTCTTCTGCTTATTCTTTTCAGAGTCTCCATTAGTGGGGATAGTAATGCAGTAATGTTACTTAATTACTCACTGGAGAAACTAATTTATTATACAATTTTTAAGATAGGTGTTACTCTGTCATGTGACCTGAAACGCATTTTCATATAATTACCAGTTAAAATAAACATGAGGCTACAGTCCCCTACACTAACACAAATCCCAATCCTACTTAGAACACAAAATAAAACAGTGCAACAAAAAGCAAAGTTTAAACCCATTACATTACTCCTTTACTATAATATACTACTATACTGTTATTATGGTAACATGTTCCAAAATAACGCTTACATCCATCTGCACTTCCCAAACAGAAATATACAAGTGTCTCTGACTTTCAATCAAACCTGTCTGACTGAAGTTTGTCAGCATCAAGTTAATACCTAAATAACCACTTTAACCTAAATCGCTGTGATAGGAACTACTTTAGAAATCCTCTTGGGGCAAATTTGTCAGTAGTGATTTTTCGTTTATTAATGGATTTAATTAAATTCTAAAAAAGTGACCCAGAAACCACAGGATTAACACGGTTTGTCAAAGTAAATGTTGTGCCTCAGCGCTACACGATGTAATGTGTTTAAGTAAGTCCAACTTTTACTTTTTTCAGGAAACACTGTTTTCTCCTCCTGTCATTTTTAACGTTCGTAACGTTCGTTACAGATCGGGGAGTAAGTGCGTAGTGTTTGTCCACAAATCCATCACTTCCGTTCAAATACAGCTGCAGCAGTATGCTAGCAACCAAAATAATTAGGGAGAATTTTGTCATCCTGTCGGAAAATTGTTACTAGGGAATTTTTCCCTAGCAACAGGTGATTGCCAGGGGGGTCGCTGAACAGCCAGTGTGACTCCCACTGTAGCAGACATTCCCCCGTTACTGCCATCAACCTGCAGGAGATCCTCAGAACCTATGGGGATTTTTGCCTCATGGTCCGTGGTTAGCTGGTTGTTAGCGGACCACTGTGTTACTTGGGTCTTAGCGCTTGTACTTTTTATTGGGTCGTATTCAACTTTAGAAAGTGAAAGAAGCCCGAGTTCACTTATTTTAAGTCATGTGACTTAAAATAAGGTAAGTCACATGACTTCATTACCTGGAGAACCCACATTAGCTAAATACGGAAATGGCTCCTCCAACATATGCTCCGCTTTGCTCCATTTCGCTGTTGGTCGGCGTCTTCGTGTTTGTCTCAGCAGGTGAGATTTAACTTTTGAAACTAAAGAACCCCCCACAGAGACAAACAGAAGGAATGATGGTTTGTAATCGTGTTTAATTTTTCTGTGGGAAATTTCACGATGACGTTCAACTTTAGAAAGTGAAAGAAGCCCGAGTTCACAATCCAAGATGGCAGCAGTGCTCGTAAACATTAGTGAACGTTTAAAATTTGTAATCTTAATCTTAAATCTGGGGTGGCAGCAGCCCCTGAGCTAACCACTGTTAATTAGCAGTTGTCGGTAAAGAAAGGAAAACAGAATCTGTTTTGCTCCCGAGCTACGGTGGAGGCCCCGCCCATGGACTCCATGAACGCCCCATGCTAGTTTGTCGCCCTGTGGCATAGTCGGTTATTCCATAAGTATCAATGCTAGAAAAGTTCCACAGTGAAATTACAATCCCAAAACGTTTTCATTGGGAGAAACTTTTTGTTACTCATCCAAGTTCTTCAGTCTCAGCTGACTGCAGGTTTCTCCAACCTTATAAACAGTACATTTGTACAATCACAGAAACCAGCCCACTAATGAACAATAGGCTGGGAGGTCACTTTCTTAAACATTAATATGCAATTGTCATAGCCAGTGATCAGACCAATGAACAATGGCCATGAGTACCATTCACAGAGAGTTGGGGAATGGCTGTAAGATGGTGACAGATGTCCCCTTAGGCCCCCTCCTCGATTCAGAGATGGTCTTTCCCTTTTCACGTAAATGGCCTCCTTGACTCCGCACCGCGGTCAAACCAGCGTTCCTTCCTCTCCAGGATGTGCACATCCTCATCATTGAAAGAGTGTCCACTGGCCTGTAGGTGAGAATCAACTGCGTTACCAAAAAAAGGATAGCACAAGCTCAAGTCAGCACTCAGAAACTATCTGTGGCTCACATAGTGTGGTATGTTTTGTAGAGAAGGATGTGACTATGAAGCAAGATTAAGAAGTTGGCAAGTTAACTCGAGTCAGTTTTTAGTTTCATGAAGGTAGCTCTTTTAATCGCCATGGTAACTTTCTGAACAAAAATCTCTATTTTCTCTGATGACTTTCTTTGGCGTAAGCACTTTGTATGACGCTGATTATCTGCTGAAGGAATATGAATTAATACGTTTACCTTAATAATATCCTTAAGAGTCAGACAGTAGCAGCAGAAACTGTATATCTTGTTCTCACGAGTAAATAATAATAAAAACGATAATAATAACGCTTTTGATCGTTATATTCTTTATAAAATGTTATCACCTGTCATTCTGACAATGTCTCTGGTTGGAGAAAGTGGTCAACAGTTTCTAAGAAAGAAGAATGAAACGTGAACCAGACACTTTTTGTGAGCGCACACTGAGGCTGAAGCGGAAAGCTGATAATCACTGTTGTGATACTGATCGTCTCTGACTGGAAAGAATCAGAAAACATTATGAATCCTAAAGGAAATAGTGTCATATGTAAACCTTGGTATAGCAGATAACGTTGCACAGAGCCAAAAATCAGTTTTGATAATGAAATGTCATTCATGTATTTTTCAAGTAAAAGTATAACAGTTATATTTCATGTAATCTGTGTGCTATTATTTATTTAGTTATTTAGTCTCAACTAAAACTTATTTATTGCAAGAGAACTGAAGACAAACTGAAACTTAAAAGAACAAATGTGTTTAGATGATCAGGTTTTGTTCTTTCTTAAATAATTAGACATGGCACACAGGAACATGTACATGCATGGATGTAGAATAGTTTTGAATGGAGAGGCTGTAGCTTCCTAAAAAATGGAAGATATCCAGCACACTCTTTTACTAAATACTTCAAAGGATGCAAAAGCTTTCCAGTTAGAAACAGAATAAACACATATTTATCTGTCCAGAAAAAAACAAAACATTGCAGGTAAAGCAGAAATATTTCCTGCTGTGTGTATATTAATGTAAATTTTCATGAAACATGTTCACGATCACAGACACAGATCAGTAGATTAATAAATGATTGCACTGACTTGCCCGGGTGCTTCTTAAGTTGTGAGGGGCACGAGGCATTTTTAAAGTTAACTGCAGTGTTAAACAAAACGCAACCTTACAGCAGTTTCCTGAAAAACGCTTAATCACATAGCACGACTTTCTGCTCAGCAGATCGTGGCATCATCTCCAAATAGAGGCAACTGCTGCAGCAAATAATAGTGGCATCTGTAGGTGCCACTCTAGGTACCAACTACAGCTACAGCTGTGACCCGTACCTCTACCTACTGCAGCATGAGGCTGGGTGGAGTCTGTGTGATGTTAACACAAACTCCATCCACTCTCTCTGTGAGAAGAATGTGTAAAGAGGAGTTTACAGTCCAGCAGAGGCGGTGCAGCCACTGTTCAGGGACTGTCTGCATGCAGAGAGCTCTGCTGTCAGCTGTGCAAAGTATGTGATACAACCGGTCTGTGGTTCGTTCCTGCTCGTGTTGTTGTTGGTTCGTCAGCCAGCCGGAGAGAAGAGAGCAGATCTAACATAAAAAGAGCTGAAGTGAAAACGAGTGTGAAGAACAATGAAAATGTCTCTGCAGTCACAGATTCCTGTGTCATCCACTTCCACTAAGGCACAGTCAGGATTTTGGTGGACTACACTGGAGGGCATCTGAGTCAAAACCTGTCTCCCCCTGCTGTCCCAACAGAAACCTTTATCAGATGGACACATAAATGACACTTTGTGTGTGTCAGTGTGATGTGTTGTAGTGTCAGGAGTCAGTATGCAGCTACAAAGCTTTTTGTTCAGTGTATACAAACAGCTGTAGCTCCATAAAGGCAGCATGCAGAGACTCACAGTGTCTTATAATGAGAGGCTGCTTTCTCTCACACATTCTGTTCACTTATTACCAGCACATGTTGTTGTTCTGTGGAAGTCTTTGTGATCTTCTGTTTAAATCATTTTTGAGAACCCCAGTGTACCAAACATTTATTACAACAGTTCATGTTCAGAATTAGCTCCTTATTTATTGCAGATAACAAAGTGAAACAACCTTCCTTTAAAACATACTTTAAAAGCAGCGTCAAAAAAATTTGAAAAATGAGGTTTGACACAAGTGTCCGTCACCCTCATTAACTGTAGAAGTGAACAGTTGTACTTTGACCTTTACCCTCTCAGCTATGTGTGTTGTTGTTTTTTTGTTTGTTTGATTGTTTGTTTGTTTTTAACTTTTTACTTCTTTTCTCCTCTTTCAGATCAGAAAATCATCCCAGCTAAATCTGGACAGAAGAACGTCACTCTGCCATGTCGAGCTCCAAACAACAACGTCATTATTATTGTGGAGTGGAGCAGAGCTGACCTGGGGGAAGAATATGTGCTTCTGTTTCGGGATAAGAGGCTCAATCCAGACGAACAGCATCCATCTTTTAAGAACCGGGTGGATCTGCAGGACAGACAGATGAAGGATGGAGACGTGTCTTTGATTCTGAAGGATGTGACGGTTAATGATACTGGAACATACGAGTGTCGTGTCAAAGAGAAGCAAAGCGCAGGAAGAGAGCTGTTTTAGGATAATGAGCCATCAGACATCATCACACCTGAGTCTGTTCCATCCAGGTGAGTGAGTAGAGTTGAGTGTGTGTGTGATCAGAGGTGAAGCTGCTTCCTGGTTGTTGATGTTTGTTTTAAAGATGTTGTTGATGAGACTTTGTAGAAAGCAGCTGGTCTGAGTGATGTGATCAGAGTGCAGTAGATAATGTCTGACAGCAGTTTGAAGAGGAAATGGATTCTGTTCTGTTCTTCACTCATCACCTACCTCACAGCTGACACCTCACTCCTGTTTCTCACCTGCAGCTCAGACAGGAGGAGACACGGAGGATGGAGGGAAGGAGGATGGATCTGTTGGACTGAAAGTTGGTCTGTCAGTGTCTGCTGTGCTTCTTGTTGCTGCTGTTGTTGGATTCTTGATCTACAGAAAACATAAACAACAGCAGAGTCAGGATTCATTCTAGCCTCCCGTTGAATCTCAGCCTGCTTGAAATGTCAGCTTAACTGTGATTCTTGTGCTTTTATTTTCAGTCTTGTCATTGAACATGTTGAAAGACAGAAATCTATAACACTAAACATCTATCAGGTACCTGTCAGACACGTCCAGATTTTAGTTTGGATTTACATTTTACATCTGAAGAAAGGAAAAAGTTCATTGCATTGTAGACAGTTAATATCTGTCTGAAAGCATTAAGAATCCATTGATCAAATGTTACTTTTTTGACAAATTTTTAAGTGTAATTACATTAAAATGAAACCAACACATTTCATTGTAGCTGCAGAGTCCGACATTTCCTTCCTTTGACCTGGAACGATTCATTCACGTGGAAGCAGCTTCATTGAACTTTACCTTCCATGAAGGAGACTCTTCAGTCTGTTACTGTCCAACTGTTACTTCATTTTAAATATTCCAAAAGCTTTTCATATATTTCTGCTTTATTTCTATAGAATTTTTTATGCTAATTTGTTCACTGAGAAAGTTTCACATATGTTAGTTCTTAATGAATGTGGGCTGTTTTCTTTACATTTTCTGTGGCTGTAATTATTAGTAGTACTTTGTGAAACTGGTGATGCCGGTTTTATTTTATTTTTATTTCACCTTGAATTGTTGTGCATGTGTTCAATCACCATGACCATGTCATATTCTGTTTTTACCCACATAATAAACAGAAACTCTAAAAGATATATAAGCCTTCAGGTTTTCATATAATGAACAGAGTTGAGGGTATTTGGAGTGTAAACTGGGCCAGGTTATGCGTTCAGCATTTAGTTGGCGCCCATCTGACCAGAGACCAGACCGATATTATTTTAAATATTACATCTAGAAATCATATAACTAGACAATTAAAAATGTTTCTGTTAACTTTAAAATGAACGATGTACAGTGTGATAAGATGCAACCTAACCCGGAAGTTAGCAGCTCACAACATGACCTCAGAGTTTGACTGGATCTAAGTGAAGGAGCCAGGTTACCTTAACCAGTACATACCCTGCTGCACCTAACAGCCAAATAAATATATATAAGATATTTCTGTTTTGCCTGCGTTCTTATTTTATTTGTTTAGTTTTTGGTTTTACAAAGACTGCATTGAGATTGATTTCTGTGCCATAGGTAGGAGGATAGAAGAAATAAGGCACACATTGTAAAAATAAAACAGGAAAACATTCTAGCATCTGTTTATGTTAGTTAGGGGGCGAGCCCAGTGGCGGTCCTAGCCTGTTTGGCGCCCTGGGCGAACACTCCCTCTGGCCATTAACATTAACACACTTTGGGAAGGTCTGGCTAAAAGGCAGAGATGTTCTTCATGAAGGTCATCATTCTCATCAAGAGTCATAAAGACATTGTGTTGATCTCCTTTCAAACCGTTTAAGGTAAATAGTGATGATGCAGTTGAGTGTATTTTTTATTTTATATATTAAATATTTTTATATATTTTTAGCTCCAGCTGTTGATAATAATATATGTTTAGAAAAATACTAGAAAAAGTAATAAAAAAATGTGTAGGTGTAAACCAGGAGTGGCCAACCCCAGGCCTCAAGGGCTGATGTCCTGCAGGTTTTACATGTGTCCTTGATCCAACACAATGGGCTGAATGGCTAAATTACCTCCTCAACATGTCTTACAGTTCTCGAGAGGCCTGGCAATGAACTAATCATTGGATTCAGGTGTGTGGACCCAGGGTGATATCTAAAACCTGCAGGACACTGGCTGTCGAGGCCTGGAGTTATGTACCCCTGCTGTAAACAATACTCTTCAATTTAAGGTAAATTTGACAAAGAAAACTCGAACAGAAGAACACATGTTCCAGCAGACATAAATGTGCTAATCACATACTTGTGCAAACATAAAAGGCCTTCTGTAATCATTAAACACATATAAAACTCAGCTGTAGTGATTGTGCTGATCTGCTTGTATCCATCTTAGTATTTAAAGTCCAACATCTCCCTCTAGTGGCCAAATATGAACCATGTGTGAGGATGGTGTGAATGTAAAATGTGAATCATAGTGTTCCAGTCAGTCATCAGTGTGTCTCTGCACAGCTGTAATTAAAATGTGTTCAGAGGGCCTCAGTGTCTGAATGGTTCCAGTTCAGCTCCATAACAGCAGCGTCCCTGGTTTGATTCCTGTGTTTCAGCTCATATCTGCCTCTCTCACTGAGGGGACGTCCACTACGATTTGTTCATCAGCCAAACTACAGATCACTGAGAGCAGAGGACATCTGATTTATTGCTGATTGTTCTATCCTGCTGTGTGAATTGCCAAATGTCTGAGCAATCTCATTACTTTAAAAGATACGTGTTTATAGTTTATATGTTGCATTTAGTTACCCACTGTATTTGAACCAATAGAAAAGCTGGTGCTCAGAGGAAGAGGGCGGG